ACAATACTATCAAATGGGGAGAGTATTGTCCGTACTATCAGAAAACAATGTCTTGTTTCTTGGCTCAGGAGGAATATTACATAATTTACAAGATTGGTTTAAGAATCCTAGTGCCATTGAATATTATGGACCCCACTTTGTGCAGTGGATCATACAATGCATAAATACCCAACAACTTGATCATTTATTTGATTACCGTACTCTAGCGCCATTTGCAGTCCGTGCCCACCCAACTGATGAACATCTCATGCCCTTGTTCTTTATACTGGGAGCAGCATGTTTTGGTATGGAAGATGTCGTAGTCAAGATTGAGCATAGGTCTAGTTTGGGTATATCAGGCATGGATCATCTACTGTTTACACGTGAATAACTTAATGATTTGAGTGTTTTGTTGAGTTACTTTGTTTGAAGGATAGACGTGTTTTGACCTTCAATTTCTAACGTGACAAAATTCACGATTGATGTGGAATTGGAATGAGAAGGTAGGGTTTAAATGAATGGGTGGAGAGTTATGAGTAGTCAACGTATAGAATATGAAGAAGGCATTTATGCCATTGATGCCAATTATGTCCGTCCCCAATTGGCAGCTATCCACTTTATAGTGGAAAATGGGCGTGCTGTCGTCATCGATACAGGAACCAATGACTCTGTATCAAGGACTTTAGCTGAGTTACAAACCTTAGGGATTGCTCTAGAACAAGTCGATGCGATTATTTTGACTCATGTGCATTTAGATCATGCGGGTGGAGCCGGATTGTTAATGAAAAACTGTCCTTATGCCAAACTCATCGTCCATCCTAGAGGAAGTCGCCATATGATAGACCCTAGTAAGCTCATTTTAGGTGCTCAGGCTGTGTATGGTAAAACACAATATGAGCAAATGTATGGAGACATTCTACCTGTCGATGCTCATCGTGTGATTGAGGCTCAGGATGGTCTAGAATGGAGTTTTGAGGGGAGGGCGTTATCATTTTTAGATATACCGGGTCACGCGCGCCACCATATTGGTATTTTTGATCGAAAAAGCCAAAGTATTTTTACTGGAGACACTTTTGGCTTAGCTTATCGAGAGTTGATTGTCGATGATCAAGCTTTTATTTTTCCTTCGACGAGTCCAGTTCAGTTTGAACCAGAAGCGCTTAAAAATTCGATCGGACGAATAATGGCCTTAAATCCTCAAGCTGCATTTTTGACACATTATGCCAAAGTCGAAAATTTGCCGAAACTAGCTAATGATCTGTATGAACAAATCGATGCCTATGTGGGGTTATGTGAATATGTTATGCTTGACAAAAGCGCAGGAAACTCGGCTTTAGAAAAACAGTCGTTGCTAGAGTCGTTATTGATGGATTTACTAATAAAACGTTATTATGACCTAGGTGGAAATCTAACGGAAGACATGATCCAAGAGATTTTAACCGTTGATGTAGCCTTAAATGCACAAGGTTTGTTGGTATGGTGGGATACAAACAAGAAGCATCCATGAGCGATGGAAGGTTTGAGCGTGTATCATGGGATTGATTGATCATTTAGTTCTACCTTGGTGATGGATGTTGATCGTTGGTTATTTGATGCTGTTTTGAGTGATTGGATAGCAAAATAACGCTCAAAGGTTAAAAATCTTTAAATCGTTTCAATTTTTTTAATTTTTGACATGAAGTTACCTATAATCAAGTCGAAGTGGTGTTTTTTTNCCTACCCATTGCCATTACGGATTCAGGTCTTGGAGGACTTTCGGTTTTTCTAGCGATAGCTCAACAGCTGCCTGAAGAAAATCTACTGTATTTAGCGGATTCCCGCTTTGCTCCATACGGTGAGAAACCCACTGAATGGATCATTGCACGTACTTTACAGATAGCAAAGTGGCTGATCAACACACCTTGCAAAATGATTGTTATTGCCTGCAATACGGCAACAGCACATGCCGTTCAAGCCGTGCGAGATGATTTTCCTATTGCCGTCGTGGGGATTGAACCAGGCTTAAAACCTGCTTGTCACATAAGCCAAACGCACAAAATAGGCGTTTTAGCAACGCACAATACCTTAAAAAGTCATAAATTTAATACGTTACTGGCAAGCATGCCACCTAATATTGAGTTTATTTTACAAACAGGTTATGGTCTGGTTGATTTAATTGAAGGTGGTCAAATAGAAAGTACTGCTATGCAAACGCTACTGCGTCAATACCTCGACCCGATGTTGATTCAAGGCGTTGACACCCTCGTGCTGGGATGTACACATTACCCATTTATCGCAAAACAAATTCGTACCTTATACGGCAACCAATTTCAACTCATCGATACAGGTCAAGCAGTCGCCCAGCAAGTCAAGCGACTGCTCATCAGTAATAATTTACTGAACGTCAATCATACTATAGGTAAACAACAATTTTATACGACAGGTTATGCCCAAGATTTGTCAGATGTAATGTTTGTGGCTACAGCCAATTCATTGAATATTCCACCTGCACTTTTGGATCGGATGGAAGTGATTCGTTTGTCGGGTTACACCGAGGATGAAAAACTCAACATTGGTAAACGTTATTTGGTGCCTAAACAAATTGAGAACAATGGTCTCAAAAAGGGAGAATTAACCATCGATGATAGTGCTTTGATGGATATTATTCGCTACTACACAAGAGAGGCGGGTGTGCGCTCTTTGGAGCGCGAGGTTTCTAAGATTTGCCGGAAAGCGGTGCGATTACTTGCACTTAAAAAAGTGAGTGCACCCTTGGTGGTCAATCATGAAAATTTAGAGCAATTTTTAGGCGTGCATCGCTTTGATTATGGACGTGCTCAAAAAGATAATCAAATCGGTCAGGTTAATGGATTAGCCTACACGGAAGTGGGCGGGGATTTATTAACCATTGAAGCCGCTTTAATGCCAGGTAAAGGCCTTGTGTTGCGTACAGGATCGCTTGGCGATGTGATGAAAGAGTCTGTAGAGGCGGCTCGTACCGTTGTGCGTTCTCGTTCTGAGGTTTGGGGAATTGATCATGAACACTATGAAAAACGTGATATTCATATTCATGTTCCTGAAGGCGCAACGCCTAAAGATGGACCTTCCGCAGGAGCTGCGATGACGGTCGCGATGGTTTCTGTCTTGACAGGTATTCCCGTTCGTGCAGATGTTGCGATGACAGGTGAAATCACGCTGCGAGGAGAAGTTTTAGCGATTGGTGGACTTAAAGAAAAACTTTTAGCAGCGCACCGAGCTGGCATCAAAACAGTGATTATTCCAGAAGACAATTTTAAGGATCTTACTGAAATTCCTAAAATTGTCCAAGAAGAAATGACAATCGTTCCTGTTAAGTGGATAGATCAAGTTTTAGATGTTGCCTTGGAATGCAGCCCTGAAGCCAAAGCTATTGAAAAGTCAAAACAACTTGAGAAAGATCAGGAGAAGAGTATCGATGATGTTGCTCCTGTGATTCGCAAGAAACCAAGAGCAGGTTCTGGCGTCCAAAAGCATTAATGTTGTGTTGAAAAAACCATCATCACCTGATATTCAAGTGGTGATGGTTATAACGTGTAGCCATCATCGTTCGGTTGCCGAATATGATCAGTATATTGTTCGATGTAGCAATAGACCTTTGAGGTACTCGCCTTCAGAAAAGTTCGGTAAGCTAGGATGGTCACTGCCTGCACTGAGTGTTTTAACGACTTGCACCATGATATGAGCATCACGCGCACTTTGTGCGACAATATATCGAAAGTGATCAAGTGTCATAGCACCCGAGCAAGAAAAAGTCCACAAATAACCGCCTGGCTTGAGAAGTCCCATAGCAACAAAGTTAATTTCTTTATAGGCTCTTGCTGCTTTTTCCAGATGTACTTGACTAGGTGCAAATTTGGGTGGATCAAGAATGATGATGTCGAACTGTTTTTTTTGTTCGCGATACATTCTTAATAGTTTGAGTACATCTTGGTCTACCCATTCAATATTGACTTGATCGATATTTTTCTTCAACAAAGTATTGTGGTTAATATTGATTTCAAGATTGTTTTTTGCTTGAGCAAGAGCGTCTCCAGAAGAATCAACCGAAATGACCTGATGAGCACCAGCTGCAATCGCAGCAATGCTAAAGCCTCCCGTGTAACAAAAACAATTCAAAACACTTTTATCTTTGGCAAAAGATTGCAGCAAGGCTCGATTATCGCGTTGATCAAGATAAAATCCTGTTTTATGACCTTTGATAATATCGACACCATAATGAAGGTTGTTTTCCACAATCGGAATGACCGTTTGAGTGAGCTCTCCACAGACCAGTCCTGTACGCGCTGGCAATCCCTCTCGGTCTCGAATGGCGGCATCACTTCTTTCATAAAGCGTTGTTAGATTTGTGGCTTTTAAGAGTGCCTTAAAAATTGATTCACGCCATTTTTCAGCACCAGCTGAGGTGATTTGGCATACCAATACGTCACCATAACGATCGGCTATAAATCCCGGAAGACCATCGGCCTCGCCAAAAATGACCCTATAAGCATTGGTTTTTGATTGATCGATGATTTGTTCACGTAGATGAACTGCATTTTGTACGCGCCCTTTGATCAAGGCATCATCAACGGGACGATTTTCATCTAAATGCCAAATGCGGGCACGAATACTAGAATCGGGGCTGTATGCACCTTTTGCGATAAATTGCTCTTTTTCATCAACGATAATGACCGTTTCTCCAGGGCTGGGTTTTCCTGTCACTTTTGTTACGGCTTGAGCATAAACCCATGGATGACCACGTAGCAGATGTATCGCTTTGCCTGGTTTGAGATGGATTTTTGCAATCATAGAAAGTCGCCTTTAAAACGCGTAAGAGAAGAGATAAGCTTGGTAGCATAGCAGAATAAAGATTTAGCTGCCAAGTGGTGAGGCCTAATGATCATGTCCGTTCATGCTAGACCGTCAAGATTTGTTTCTAGAGCAGTTTGTTTGATATGAAGTTGTTGAAATAAAAAATTCGTTAAATCTTGGGCATAACCTGTCGTATAAAATTGTTGTTTACCTATAGTATGATTGACGTTCAGTAAATTATTACTGATGAGCAGTCGCTTGACTTGCTGGGCGACTGCTTGACCTGTATCGATGAGTTGAAATTGGTTGCCGTATAAGGTACGAATTTGTTTTGCGATAAATGGGTAATGTGTACATCCCAGCACGAGGGTGTCAACGCCTTGAATCAACATCGGGTCGAGGTATTGACGCAGTAGCGTTTGCATAGCAGTACTTTCTATTTGACCACCTTCAATTAAATCAACCAGACCATAACCTGTTTGTAAAATAAACTCAATATTAGGTGGCATGCTTGCCAGTAACGTATTAAATTTATGACTTTTTAAGGTATTGTGCGTTGCTAAAACGCCTATTTTGTGCGTTTGGCTTATGTGACAAGCAGGTTTTAAGCCTGGTTCAATCCCCACGACGGCAATAGGAAAATCATCTCGCACGGCTTGAACGGCATGTGCTGTTGCCGTATTGCAGGCAATAACAATCATTTTGCAAGGTGTGTTGATCAGCCACTTTGCTATCTGTAAAGTACGTGCAATGATCCATTCAGTGGGTTTCTCACCGTATGGAGCAAAGCGGGAATCCGCTAAATACAGTAGATTTTCTTCAGGCAGCTGTTGAGCTATCGCTAGAAAAACCGAAAGTCCTCCAAGACCTGAATCCGTAATGGCAATGGGTAGGTCAGCATTTATCATGATTTATCTTATATCTTCAATAGGTAAGTGTAGTCAGTTTCGTATGGGAAATAAAGGCCAACGAGGTTTTATGCTGATGGTGTAATCCACCTGTCCAACATCTTGTTGGGCTTGCAATCGGTAACAGGCTGTTAAGGCGATCATCGCTGCATTGTCTGTTGATAATGCCAGTGGAGGAAAAAAAACCTGGACATTTTGCTGTTTTGCTAACTGCGTAATGGCTTGGCGTAATTGATGGTTGGCGGATACACCGCCTGCGACTACTAGGTTTTTTAATTGTGTTTTTTCGAGTGCCCCCTTGATTTTTCGTGTGACAACAGCGACGATCGTATCAACAAAATCACGAGCAAGATTAGCCTTGGTTTGCATGTCCATTGATCCATGGTCTGCTTCGTATCGCCTGATCTGTGTATGAATGGATGTTTTTAGCCCTGCGAATGAAAAATTTAAGTTGTCATGCGCAATTAACGGTCTCGGGAGCTTAAACTGTCCTCCCACACCTTGTTCTGCAAGTGCTGACAATGCAGGGCCTCCAGGATAACCCAGTCCAAGCATTTTTGCTGTTTTATCAAATGCCTCTCCAAGTGCATCATCCAAAGTGTCACCAATAAGTTCATATTGGTTTAAGTTGTGTGCAGCAATCAGCTGCGTGTGACCACCAGAAATGAGTAAGGCTAAGAAAGGCCAATTTGGCATGGGATCTGCCAAAAAAGGCGATAATAAATGCCCTTCAAGATGATGAACACAAACGGTTGGCTTACCAAGTGCAAAAGCAAGACTTGTTGCAAATGCAGCACCTGTTAATAACGCACCTGCCAAACCTGGGCCACTGGTATAGGCAATGATATCAATGTCATCCAAGTTTCGATGGGCAACATGTAAGCATTCCTCGAGGAGTGGGATAAAGCGTCTGATATGATCTCTAGCGGCCAATTCGGGGACAACACCGCCATAAGAGGCATGCATTTGGGCTTGCGAAAAAAGAGTATGAGCAAGTAAACCGTTTTGGTCGTCATATAAGGCGCAAGCTGTTTCGTCACATGAAGATTCAATGCCCAGTACTAACATATTAATCTATTTCTAAAATTACTTGTTTATGGGGATGTGCTTTTTGTCAAATCTGTTGAAAACGTTGCTGCAGCTTTACGGACCCGATCAAGAATGCCACGCCAGTCGTTCGGTAAGGTTGCTGGCAAATGTAAAATGATTTGTTGGTATCCTTGATCATCAAACTGTCTCAAACGTTGATAAAGTGTCTGTGCGTAAGCTGCTGCGGTTTGTGGTGCGGTTACCCAATGCCATGTTGGCAAACCTTTGGATTGTATCGCTTGAGGACATGGGCTTAAACTGTACACAACACAACTTGATAAGGGTTCCAGTGCGTTAGGAATTAAGGTTAGGTCATCGATTAAACGAACAGGCGTATTGGGTGCATAGTGTGCAAGAAGTTGACCAGGTGCTCTTACCCCTGTATCTGTAGCTTCATGATGATACACAACAGGTTCTTGGAGGATAAGCTCAATATCTTGTGCAGAGATAAGACCCGGACGCAAAATGGTTGCTTGAGGTTGCGTTAGATCAAGGATGGTCGATTCGATTCCGCACTGACAAGCGCCACCGTCTAAAACAGGTATAGCCCCTGCAAATTCGGTGATAACATGTTGTGCCAACGTTGGGCTAACTTTACCAAAACGATTTGCAGAAGGTGCTGCGAGCCCAACGTAGGTATTGGGGGAGTGTGCACGGATGTTTTCTAATAAACGCAAGGTGATGGGGTGATTCGGGCATCTTAATGCTATGGTATCTTGCCCTCCAGTGATATTGTTTGGGATGTGGTTTTGTTTGTTCATAATGAACGTTAAAGGACCTGGCCAAAATGCTTGTGCTAAACGGTTGGCTTTCTCAAAAGCCAAGTCTGTTACCGCAAAATGACTGATATCGTGAGCATGAGCAATGTGAACAATGAGTGGGTGGTGCGTTGGGCGATTTTTGAGATGAAAAATTTGATCAACAGCATGGGGGATATGAGCTAAGGCAGCTAAACCATAAACGGTTTCGGTTGGTATGGCTATGACATGGCCTGCTAACAAATAATGGGTCGCCCAATCAATGTTTTCTGGCATGGGCAGAAGCCTAGCATCGGTAGGCGTAATAACTTTTGTCATGCATCCATTCCCAAGATGGTCATGACTTGTTGGGCAAGCTGCTGTGCTGCTTCAAGGGTGTCTCCCGTACAGTTGACATGTCCCATTTTGCGACCAAAACGAGCTTCATGTTTGTCATATAGGTGTAAATAAACATTTGGCAGTGCCAAAATAGCAGCCCAGTTAGGGCTAACATGATGGTCTTGTTCTATGACCCGATCAGAGAACCAAATATCACCCAAAAGATTTACCATGACACATGGCATTTTTAAGACAGGCTGAATTAGGGGCAAACCAGCGGTTGTTCGAACTTGCAAGTCAAATTGACTAATATTGCAGGCATCCATGGTGTAGTGACCACTGTTGTGCGGACGAGGTGCAAATTCATTGATGAACAACCGATCTTGTTCGTCGATAAAAAATTCTGCGCACATAACACCATGATAGTTAAGGTGAATTGCCAGTTGTTGCGCGTAATTTTGCGCTTGGACATGCAACTTATTGGCCTTAAAATCTACCGTAGTGGTATGTAAAATACCATCACGATGAACATTTTCTGCCACAGGAAAACTGACCAATTGACCATGATGGCTCCGCGCCAAAATAACAGAAATTTCTTGCTTAAGAGCAATTTTTTTTTCGATGATGCAGGGAACTCTATTAAGCGCATGAAAAGAAGCGTTTAACTCGTCTTTTGAATGCACCGTCATCTGTCCTTTGCCGTCATACCCCAAACGAGCTGTTTTGAGAATGGCTGGAAAAAAATTGTCGGGAATAAAGCCTAAGTCATCGACCGATTCGATGGCAGTGTTGGGAACGCAGGGAATATTCAGTTCTCGAAAGCGGTTTTTTTCTTTGATTCGATCTTGTGCGACTGATACGCATTTTGCATTAGGACGAGTCGGCAAGTGATTAGCAAGATAACTTAAGCTATCAGTAGGCACGTTTTCAAATTCGATTGTAGTTGCCTTGGCATGTGTTGCCATGATTTCAAGAGCCTGTTCATCATGAAGTTCATGGTTAATATGGTGGTTTGAGATTTGACCTGCGGGACTGTATTGCGTTTCTTCTAGGGTAATGATTTTATACCCCATTTTTTGAGCTGCTTGTGCAAACATACGACCAAGTTGTCCGCCACCTAAAACACCTAAATATTCACCTGGGAGGATCCATTGTTCTGTTTTCATCTTTAATATATTGATTAATTTTAATTTTTAACTTGTTGGAGGCAATACTTTATTTTTGGCGGCGAAATTTTGTTGTTGACGAAAAACCACCAACTTGTCGGCTAATGTTTCATCCTCTAGGGCTAATATCGCCACGGCAGTTAAGGCAGCGTTGGCAGCACCAGCTTCACCAATGGCAAAGGTTGCCACAGGAACGCCTTTTGGCATTTGGACAATGGAAAGCAACGAATCTTCGCCACGTAAATAACGGGATGGCACGGGCACGCCAAGAATAGGGATGATGGTTTGAGAAGCAAGCATGCCAGGTAAATGTGCTGCGCCACCTGCTCCAGCAATAATAGCTTTGAGCCCGCGAGCTTTGGCTTGCTTGGCATAAACGAACATTTCATCAGGCATGCGATGTGCTGATAAAACTTGCATTTCGTATGGGATGTCAAACTGTTGCAATATTTCGATGGCATGTGACATGACTGGCCAGTCAGAGTCCGATCCCATCACAACACCGACCTTTGTTATGCTTGACATAAAACGACGCCTTTGAAAATCTGATACATAAAAGCAACATTTTACCGTATCTTAAACGGTTTTGGCGGTCATTCTAAAGAAAATATGCCTAGAAAGGATTGCCTTGATTCATATTTTGGTTATAATCGCACCACCATTGATTTTTCTATCCTATTATTTAGATTTTAAAAAACCAATGTATTTTAAATAAACTTTAATCGATCTACTTTTGATGGGGGATATGATGCGCAAATATTTAGCAGAAATGCTCGGAACGTTTTGGTTGGTCTTTGGTGGTTGTGGTAGTGCGGTGTTCGCGGCAGGTGTGAATTTAGGCATTGGCTATGTTGGTGTTTCATTTGCTTTTGGTTTGACGTTGTTAACCATGGCCTATACCATTGGTCGTATTTCTGGATGCCACATTAATCCAGCCGTTTCTGTTGGTTTGTTTTTAGCAGGTCGTATGAGTGCGAAGGATTTGCCTTTTTATATTATTGCTCAAGTGATCGGTGGTATTTTGGCAGCTGGTTTGTTAATTTGTATCCTCAAAGGTGGTCCAAATGGTTATGATGCTGCAGTAAGCGGTTTGGCAGCTAATGGTTATGGCGAACACTCACCAGAAAACTATAACATGAAATCGGCTTTTTTAATTGAGTTTGTGTTAACGTTCTTCTTTTTAATCATTATTTTGGCTTCTACTAGCCGATTTTCAGTGGCTGGTTTTGCACCATTACCCATTGGTTTAAGTTTAGTCTTAATCCATCTCATCAGCATTCCCATTACCAATACCTCTGTGAATCCTGCACGTAGCTTAGGGCCTGCTGTTTATGTTGGTGGTTGGGCGATGGAACAAGTTTGGTTGTTTTGGTTAGCTCCAATTGCTGGCGCAGCAGTCGCTGGCTTGGTATGGCGTTACTTCGAAGCTGAATAATCCGGAAGTTGGGTTAAAAAAGCCCTCTTAAACGAGGGCTTTTCTTATGGATTTTCAAACCATGCCAGCTTTTGCAAGGTATAATGCGTTGCTCATCCATGTTTGATGATCAGAAAAAAATCGTTGAATCAGAGGATAATGATGACAAGATCAAGTAGCCTTAAAATGTTAAGTTACATAATGGGCTTTCGTTTTCTGTCGAGGAATTAGAGCATTTCTTAGGTTAACTCAACTAATTCTCCTAGGCAAAGATGGGTTTTGAAGGTATATATTTCCGATAAGGTACACGATCGGAGTTGGGCGACCGTTATGTATGTCGGTGTGGTGTGTTTTTAATGATTTGTATCCATGTTTATCCAATAGTTATGAGGAATGTCAAGGTGTTTAAAACAGTTGTATTACGAATCTTAAGTGTGACCAGTGTTGTGATGTTAACGGCTTGTTATTCAACGACAATGTTAGTCGATGTTGAACAAGCAGATGTCAAAGATGGCACTGTTCAAACACCGACAGGCGAGTTTGACTTTGTCAAACTTAACTNTGGCATGTTGCTGGGGTCATCAGGAGGTAGTAAACTCGATATGCTCTCTGGAATGGGTGATCTTGGTGCTTTAGCTGGTTTAGGCGGAGGCTCAAAAGCACCCATTAAACAATTATTGACCAGTGAAGAATTGCTCGATAATGTGGTTAGGCGTCTTAATGCAGACATACAGCTCAAGAAAACAGGTGGTTTTTTTGACTTTCTGGGTCAAAATGGCTGCGCTGCTGGACCACAAGTGCAAAATTTTAGGGCTATAGGTAAAACGCTTGTTGAAATAAGAAATTTCCAAGTCCCACCATCCTACCTAAACTATCCATTTGATTTTATTGTTGATAACAAATATCAATGGCAGCTCAAACAAGCAGGCCAAGTGTTGGCTCAAGGTGGTACAAAAACTTCACAAGTTTTTTTAGTGGGTAGCAACACAGGCAAAATTGAAGTGGGTAATATGTTTAATGGGGCTAGTGGACACTATATTTTAAAGCAATGCCCACTTGATAGAATAGCTAAACAATATGAAAAAACCATAGTAGTGGAAGAAAAAGGGGGTAAAAATTCATCGTTGGTCAGTATTGGTTTTACTGATAGTAGTCCTACGTATGCGAGTATTTTTCTCTCTGTTTTTATGGAGGAGTTCATTAAAGAGCAAAATGATCGAGTAAAAACACGTACAGACAAGAACTTGCGTTTAATCGAAGAAGTGCTACCTAATATGCGAACCAAATTAGATAGAACGACTAAAGAAATGAGTAATTTTTTGGAAAGCAACCGTGTGGTCGATGTTAAGGAACAGGCTAAACAAGCACTTGAAAAAAAAGGACTATTAGAACGTAAACGAATTGAACTAGAAGTGCTGTTAAAAGATTTACAACAAAAATACACGCCACAGCATCCCGCGATTGTCAGTGCTAAACTTCAATTAAAAGAAGTGACAACTGAAATGCGCAAGATTGATGCACAATTGGTTGAAATGCCAGCGTTGGGTGAGCGTTATATGAAATATGAACGTGATACCAAAATTGAAGGTGAGTTGTATGCAAAAACTTATGTACAAACACAACAAATGGCCATTAGTAATGCTTTAGATATGTCCAATAATGAAATCATCGATTATCCAACAGTACCCACGATTATTGCTTCTCCTAAGAAAGCGCAGGTTTTAGCAGGAGCTCTGATTTTAGGACTCATGTTTGGGGTGTTTTTAGCGTTTTTGCGCCGAGATGTCTTTAAATTAATTTTTTCTTCTTAACTTTTAGTGGGTTAGGATAGTAAAATTAATTTTGTTGCCTAAAAAATGAATGCAAGGTTGTTTCTTATTGATTTTCTGCCCACTGCAATATTTGGCACAACTGTATGATTTCATCGAAACTGTGAGCAGCTGACAAAGAAATACGCAAACGAGCAGTCCCTTCGGGGACTGTGGGATAACGGATGGCTGGAATCCAAAACCCTTGTGTTTCAATATGTTGCATAGCTTGCATAGCCTTAGCGCTATCACCAACAATAATGGGTTGGATGCAGGTTTGCGAATCTAATATTTGCCATTGTTGTAATTGCAGGTTTTTTCTAAAAAAATGAATATTTTCATGGAGTTTTTTTTGTAACTGGCCTGTTTGGATAAGTTTAAGGCTCGCCAATAAGCTTGCGGCAAGTACAGGGCTTGGCGCTGTTGAAAAAACATAACCCCTAGCTTTTTGTATCAATAATTCAATAACTTGTATTTGGCTGGCAACAAATGCACCATTGACACCAGCGGCCTTTCCAAGTGTACCCATATAGAGGATGTTTTGACGATAGTCTAGCCAATCAAATAAGCCTAAAATACCTTCTCCATGAGGACCTAAGGTGCCAAAACCATGCGCATCATCAATCATGAGCCAAGCATCATATTGTAAACACAGCTCTAATAAGGCTTGAATCTGGGCTAGAGTTCCATCCATGCTAAATACGCTGTCAGTCACTATACAACGAACGCCAGTACATGGTAACTGCAATGCAGCTTCAATGGCCTGCAAATCCCTGTGAGGAGTAACGATGCACTGTGCTTTGCTCAGCCTTATACCATCAATGATGCTTGCATGATTAAGTTGGTCAGAGATGATGTGATCATGAACATCAAAAAGTGTTGATAAGACGGCGGTATTGGCTGCAAACCCAGAGCAAAAATACAAACTTTTGTCTAGACCTATCATCTGAGCAAGAGCACTCTCAAGCTGTTGATGCAAAAGATGATGACCAGATAGTAAGCTAGAAGCTCCTGCGCCAATCCCGTATTGATCAATGGCCTGCTGTGCTGCGGCTTTAAGGTCAGGATGATTAGCTAGCCCTAAGTAATCATTACTGCCAAAAGAAACCAATGGGTTACCATTAAGATTAACGTGAGTACCTTGAGCACTTTCCAGGGTGCGACGTTGACGCCAGAGATGGTCGTTTTGAATTTTGTTAAGGGACTGGGTGAGTTTCTCAAATCGAGGTGAGTTCATACGTTAAAATAGCGTTTTTAGTACAAAATGGTTTTTACGCCCTCATGAATCCTCAAAATCACGTTTGGCATCAAAAAAGTGTAACGCATATTTGGCATCCTTGCACCCAAATGGCAAAACATGAAGACGTACCCTTGTTACCAATCGCCAAGGCAAAAGGCGTTTGGTTGTACGATTTTGAAGGACGCCGCTATATCGATAGTATTTCATCTTGGTGGGTTAACTTGTTTGGGCATAGTTTTGAACCTTTGATCGATGCTATAACTGAGCAATTACAAATACTTGATCATGTGATGTTAGCTGGGTTGACTCACGAACCTGCTGTTTTATTGGCAGAGCGTTTACAATTTGAGACGCAACGCTGTTTGGGGATATTTTCCCCTGACCAGAAAGGTTTAGGGCATCTTCATTTTGCCTCAGATGGTGCATCCAGCACAGAAATTGCCTTAAAAATGAGCGCACATTATTGGTTAATTAACCATAAAGAAGAAAAAAATCAATTTGTTGCTTTGAGTGGTGGCTATCACGGCGAGACTATGGGCGCATTAGGCGTAACCGATATTGATTTATTTAAGGCGCAATATCGCTATTTAATTCGTCCGAGTTCTGTGTTGCCTGTACCTAACCGTTTTGACCTTGAAGCGGTTCATGCAAGCTTGCGTAAAGTAGAGCAGTATTTCTCTGAAAACCATACCAGAATCGCTGCACTGATTGCTGAGCCCCTGATTCAGTGTGCCAATCAAATGTTTTTTTATGCGCCTGAGTATTTACATGGATTGGCAACGTTGTGCCAACAATACGACATTCATTTGATTGCAGATGAAATAGCCGTTGGGATGGGGAGAACAGGGACCCTATTTGCCTGTGAACAAGCGGGTATTCGCCCCGATTTTATCTGTTTATCTAAAGGCATTAGTGGTGGGGTTTTGCCTTTATCGCTGGTTTTGTCTAGAGATGAAAT